CACTTGTCTAATGCCTTACAAAGTAACCCGGGTCCCAAACATGCTTTCTGGTCACTAGAAACTAAAAGTTAGGTTCTTGGGAGATCGGAAAGGAGAGAGGAAACCACAAGGAAAAGGTAATTATTCTGCTAGGTATTTCCTTTGTTGTTGTTTTGTTTTGAAACAGGGTGTCATTGCTATATAGCTCAGGCTCACCTCAAACACCCAGTCCTCTTGCCTCTGCCTCCAGAATGTTTACTCTGTATTTTTATATTAATTGTTCAATGGTATCTTTGAAGACGGAATTGTCTTCAATATAAAATGATATTTGATATTTTTCTTGGATGCTTCCAAACATCACTAGTCTCCAATCTCTCTCTCCCTTTCACACACACACACAGAGAAAGAGAGAGAGAGAGAGAGAGAGAGAGAGAGAGAGAGACAGAGACAGAGACAGAGACAGAGAGACAGAGAGACAGAGAGACAGAGAGACAGAGAGAGAGTCTCCTGCATATCATGCCTGATCCACGTAGCCAATCTCTCCTTACTACAGTCGTGGTGGTCAACTCTATGTAAATGACCTTATTGTCTACCCTGAGGCCTCACACTTCTTGCCATATTGTTTTGTAAAACATTTCTCAAATGTTTAATTCCCCTTTTCATTCTTCAATATTCAGCTAAAAAATCACTTTCTCTTTAAAAGCTCCCATAATCCCTACTGCTACCTCAAAGTAATTTTTCCATATAAATTCTACATACATACACTTAAACTGAGATCTGAAATCAAAACACGAGTGAGCCAGATGAGAAGGTTATTGCCTTCCAGAAAAAGAATATATGCATAGGAATGAACATGAAGCAGGAAGAAACTTGACGCTTTCAATAGAGTTAAAACGAGGGGATAGGTGCTCATATAAGAAGCCAGAAGCACAGTCATTATAGGGCACATTAATTCTTTTGGAACTTGAACAAAAACAGAAGCACTGAAAAGTATCAGTGTGGAAAATATTTGAAAGGAACAAAAGTATGGGAGGAAGTATAATGATGAAACATGTTGTATAATGATATATATATGGACATAGAAGAAAGTATAATGATGAAAATGTTGAAACATGGTTGAGGTAGATACATTAGGAAGATATTAAAATGGGGGATCTATTAAGAAATGTAAGAAAATCTATTAAGAAAGATATATGGGAGGTAGCAAAAATGGTTCCCAAAATAATAGTGCTATAACTTACTGAGGACAGGAGAAATGGAGGAGAGCCATGATTAGTTTCAGGTAGTAAGGTTTTAGGCAATGAAATTTGTTTTGAAAATACTGGATTTGATATGCTATGACTTATGCATGTGGTCACAGCAAATAATAGGTTAGATGTATAGTGAAACTCTAAAGATAAGAAACTGAGAATGAGTGCTTGGTTTGGCAGCACATACAAAAAAATTGGAACGATACAGAGAAACTGAAAACCATCAGATGGTAATTGAAGTCATGAAAGTATATAATATTTTTCTTACAGAAAGAGTTGATGGGGAAGGAAAGCTGTGTACATCACAATAAAGCTCTATTGCAAAGCTATAGAGGGGATGGAAAAAGATTAGTCAGAGAAAAACCCAAGAAAGTGTGGTTTCTTCAAGCCCAAGGAGACAGTACATTAAAAAGAAGGGCAATCATCTGAGGTGAATGCTGTTGAGTTGCCAACGAGTGGATTTAGCAGTATGAATGTCACTGTGACCTTCTGAAGAGCTATTTCAGTGGAGATGTATGGGGCAGAAGACAGATTGGAGTGGGCTGAGGTGAAGAAATGAAGACAGAAATGTAAATAATACAAGAAATTTGTGTTTAATGGCAAGAATGAAATTATTTTGTTTGAACATTGGAAAGAGTAGAAAATGTTTAAAAGCCAAAGAATCTAGTAGAGAAGGGTTAGTTGAAGAGAAAGGCAAGCAAGAAGTGAACGAATGGCATAAGCATCCTGGGAAGGCAAATGGGGATGAAATCCAGACGTACAGTGTTTCTGAGTGTTGTTGTAGAGATTTTGAGTTAGAGTTGAATGGGTTCTGAGGGCTGAGACTGAAGAGAGAGAGAATGATAGGAAGAAAGACAATTGGCCAAGTTGTCTGTATGCTGCTATTTTTCTAAAGTTCCCAGTACTTCTGAAGACACAGTATGATGCAGTGGTTTAGAACATGTATCTAAAATAAAAGTGCCTTCTTTGAACATGGCTCCACCACCATCTAGTTGCATGGATTTGGTTAAATTATTCAACTTTCCCATTCTTAGTTTCCTCATATGTAAGAAAGGAAGCAAAATTTTACCTCTTTACAATTTTATTATGAAGATAATCTAAATACACCCAAAGGGCTTAAACAATGCCTAAAATAATGATACCTCTAGTTTGCTTTTATTATTAAGACTCTCCCAATCACACCTGAGTATGTTTGCAATTGGATTATATTGGAATGCAAGAGCTGATGAAGGGAACGAAATTTTTGTCCCCATAAATACTACTTTAATTTCCTAACTAGCTAAACAATATAGTAGGGATAAAAGGTGTCCTATTCTTAGTTACACATATAACTATAATTTTAATATACCAGTAGTTCAGTGAACACCAATATATCCCAGTAGGGAAGACTTGGTCCATAGAGGATGGACCAAAGAGTAATTTCTAATTAGGAGCTCTGAGAATTGTGCCTTGAGCCCTAAGATGATCCTTTTTCTAAATCTAGAAGCTTAGAAAATGCAAGCAATTGAGATTTCTAGTCCTGCTACATTCTTTGCTTCAGTGTGTGTATTTGTGTGTGTATGTGTGTGTGTGTGTGTGTGTGTGTGTGTGTGTGTGTGTGTGTGTGTGTATTTATATTAGGAGGATGAAGCCTCTATATTGTGGCTAGAAAAATTACCAACTTTTTTAGGTGGATAAAGAAAAACAATTTCGTTATGGAAGAGTTTGGGAAATTAGTCACCAAAAAAAATCAGAGAAAGTTTAGTAGAAAGGGAATTTCAATACCTACACACAAATATTTGCCCCCTAGGTTCACTGCAAAAGTATCATGCTACCTTAGTGACTTAAATATAAAGGCTGAGTGACAGCAGATAAATAGTTGTAAAAAGACAGTAGCAGCTTGGGGAATATAGATGGAAACAATAAGTTCAATGGAGCTAGCTAATATGGTGCCCTGAAGGTCAAATCAGGAACACAAGCTGTCAAATTTGCTAATACAATCTGAATTAATGAAAAGCCTAGATTACATGTACATAATAATATGCCACTTTATTATTTTCAGTACAGCACATTCTGTACATACGAAATGTCTAAGTGTTGCCTAGCAGAGGTCCCACCAGACCTGATCCTGTCTGATTTATAATTAGCACATTTATTTGTTAGTATGCAAATGAGCACTGCCATGGTACTTAGAAAAAAATTGTGTTGTTAATTAAATACAGCATTCTTCCTGTAATCTTGCTCTAACTATTCATTAGTGATACCAACCTCTTCTTTCTCTTAGAGAGTACAAAGCTAAACAACATATGAGTAAAAGGATGTGAATTTACACAATGACTGTCTGGTTATGTTAGAATGGAACAGTGGCATGAAGATATGGTAAGCCTTCAAGTAAGAAATGTGTATGTCAAGTGGATTTACCAGCACCACACAGAACAGAGCAAACTGGAGTAAGCAAAGACAAGCATTCCCATTTGTAAGTACATTTTCTCTAATTTATACTTGCACCCATATGGCATAAGCAAACTGCCTTTGAGTCAGGTTCCAATGGTTAACTCTATTCTGTGTAAAAAGTCTCCGCAAATTTTTGTGTTCCTAGAATGTAGGTGGTGCTTTAAAAATATTAATTACAGCCACCTCCATGCACAGATGATGGCATAAACAGTACAAACGCATTATAGTACAGCAAGTAAACAAGAGGACTCTGATGTCAGACTAACTGAGCACAGAACCCTGGCTCTATTATGGTGTTTTTGTAACAAGTTGATCAATTATAACCTCCTCATGTATTGATGTCTTCATCTGTACATTGGGAATTTCCATAGTCATATTTATCTCATCAAAATTACTTGATAAGATAATTCATATAAAGCACTGAGAAGTTGCTCAAAAGATTAGCAGTCCTACAAAATAGTGTGTTTAAGATGCTTAGCCTAAATTTTCTTCATTTTGGCTTCTGCCCAATGAATCCCTCTTCAAATGAGTCTAGTTTAGGAATCTAGACTTTCGATATTGCTTACTGACCACTGCTGCACAAGTTTTCTTCAGTATTTCATGTAAGGAGAAAGAGAATTTCTTCAAAAGAATTTTTTATTCAATGTCAGGGGGGAACTGTGAATCTCTGCCTGTGGTAGCCTACAAAGTGATCTGCTAATATGCATATTGGAGTCTCACCTGCCCAAAGCAAGGGACAAGCTAAAATCTTCTCTGCCCATTTCTATGGATCTACAATTCTTCAAAATTAGTGAATGATGGCAGCTACTATTTGTGCAGCCAATAAGTAAAATAGGGGTCTGGATATTTTTACATGTGTTACAGCAATCCTCACAATTCCCCTGTAAGACCTTTTCGAATTTTAAGTTGAGGAAATAGTACAGAAAAGAAGCACATGAAAACAGTGAGTTATAAACCTCACCGTTCATTTTTCATTTGCCCACCAATTCTTATTTAAATACAACTGTTTACTGATCTTTACTGTGAATCAGACACTGTCCATAATAGCATAGATACACACCACTGAACACAGAGGGTTAAAAGTCTGTGTCCAACATTGATCGTGATTTATTGCATTCATATACTATTTTGTTGAATAACATTTTTATACAGCTACTTACAGATAAAATAAGATTAAAAAATAAAAACAGTGGGAAGTGCAGAAACGATAAATAAATAAATATCCATGCTTTCATGAAACTGGTAAGGCAGCAATGTAATGTGGGACTGACTGGTTCCAAGGCCTGATTTCATTCTCTGATCTAGGAGGATACAGTGATGCGCTTTGGCATCATATTACTATTTTACAGTGATATTGAATTTTCTCTCTTTTAGGAATAGCAGAATCATGCACCAAGGAAACCAAACTACCGTCACTGAATTCTTCCTCCTGGGATTCACAGTGGAGTCTGAACAGCAGCAACTCATCTTCATGCTATTTCTGTGCATGTATCTGGTCACCATGGTAGGAAACGTACTTATCATCCTGGCAATTATCAGTGACACTCACCTCCACAGCCCCATGTACTTCTTTCTTGCCAATCTATCCTTCACTGACATCTGCTTTACAACTACAACTGTCCCCAAAATGTTGGCAGACATCCGGAGCCAAAGTCCAACTATATCCTTTGCAGGATGCCTTACACAAATGTATTTCTTTATGCTCCTAGTGGACCTGGATAATTTCCTCTTGGCAGCCATGGCATATGATCGGTACATTGCCATCTGTCATCCACTGCGCTATGCTGCATTGCTGAATCCCAGGCGCTGTGCCCTGTTAGTTGTGACCCCATGGGTCATCTCCAACATTGTCTCAATACTACATCTCAGCCTGCTGAGTCACTTGTCTTTCTGTGATCAAAGAACAATCCCACACTTCTTCTGTGACCTACAGCCCATTTTAAGGCTTGCTTGCTCAGACACTCAAATCAACAACTTGTTAATCTTAGTCATTGGGGGAGCAGTCATCTTCATCCCTTTTACCTTCATTCTAGTCTCCTATGTTTTTATGGGCAACACTGTGTTTGGAGTTCCATCAGTCAAGGGAAAGTGGAAAACATTCTCTACATGTGGTTCTCATCTCTCAGCTGTGTTTCTCTTCTATGGATCTATTGTTGGGGTCTACTTTCTCCCCTCTGCTACCTATTCAGCAGAAAGGGATAAGGTGGCAGCTATCATGTATACAGTTGTAACACCTATGATGAACCCCTTTATTTATAGTCTGCGAAACAGAGATATGAAAGGAGCACTGATGAGACTACTCAGCAAAAAGCTATTTTTCTGATGTTAGCTCAGCCATGTTATCTTTTTTCAAAAAATATGTTTTTATTGTAAAAATACTGTACAGAGGGGTTACAGTTACATGAGCAAGGTAATGAGTACATTTCTTATCGAACATTGTTAAATCCTCCTTTGTTTCTCCCCTACCATCCCTTCCCTCCCTACTTCCCCTTAAATTGTAAAGTTCGGTTTGCAACATAGTATCATTGTTACAATGGGTCAACCTGTATCCTATTTAAGCATTTTGTTTTCTCCCTTCCTCTCCCTAAACTAGAGAAGTGTATATACAAGATGCAAGGCACTGACATCAAATAAAGTGAAAACAGGTTATACCATGGAAACAAAAAACACATGGTACAATATAAATACGTTACGAACAATAGCAAGAAAGAAAAACCACTTATGTCCCTATCTTGGGGTTCGTTTGGCTTAACATCATCTTATCTGGTCATATGTACATAGCTTTTGACCATTTCTGCTTGTCCCAGACATATACTCATTATTGCAAATATGGGAAACATGGGACCTATGTTTCTTTGGGCTTGGCTTACTTCATTTAATATAATTTTTTCCAAGTCTTTCCATTTCCTAACAAATGGGGCAATGTCATTCTTTCTGATGGAGGCATAGAATTCCATATATATATATACCACATTTTCTTGACACATTCATCTACTGAGGGGCATCTGGGTTGGTTCCATATCTTTGTTATAGTAAATAATGCTGTAATAAACATAGTCGTGCTGGTAGCTTTAGTGTAGTCTTATTTGTAAGCATTTGGGTAAATGCCCAAAAGTGGGATTGCTGGGTCATAGGGGAGCTCTATGTGGAGTCTTTTGAGGAACCTCCATACTGCTTTCCAAAGTGGTTGAACAAGTTTACACTCCCACCAACAATGCAGTAGGATTCCCTTCTGTCCACATCCCCTCCAGCATCTGTTGTTATTAGAGTTCTGGATTATAGTCATTCTAACTGGGGTGAGGTGGTATCTCATTGTTGTTTTGATTTGCATTTCTTTTATGGCTAGAGATGTTGAGCACTTCTTCATATGTCTATTGGCCATTCATAAGAGTTATCTTTATCAGCTTCTTAGACATAGGTGGGCTAATGGATCCAGAGCTTCAGATTACAGTGCTCTAGACTTCCTGTGAGTTTTGGCCTACAATCCAGGCCCAACTCTAGATTAGAGCCATTTCACTATAAAAAAAAAATTGACAAAACAAACCCCTTCTTTATTCCATTCCACAGTCTTTGCTACTTCCATACAAAAATCTCCTTGAAAAAAACTCATTAATGTAAGTTTTACTATTATGGTTTTTTAATTTAAGTTTTAGTTTATATCTTAGAAGAAAGGAGGGAGGGAAATGAAGAGTGAGGGAAGGAAGGAAGGAAAGGGAAAGGAAGGAGGTGAAGGAATGGAGGGAGGGCCTGATGATGATGATGAAGTTGATGATAGCTTATCAATAATGCTACATTAAACTTTCAAAATTCCAAAAGTAATTTGACTCAATACAGTATAACTCTTTGAGATATCTATTATAGTGCTCCATATGCTGAATATTGAAAAAAATAATGAACTAGGAGAAGCAAACTAAATCTCAAGCAATCATATCTTTTGAACTAATATTAACTATACAGTCACTCGCTGCCAGTTAGATTATCAGCAATCTCTACCATCTACTTTTCCCAGAACATGAAAAATCAACCATTTGGTGCATTCTAAATTTTAGCTACACTGAACACTTTGCCATTATTTGTACAGTTTTTGAATTTGTGCAACTCTTGCCCTTGTACATGTTTTATGTTCTCCTTGGAATATCGATATTTTCCCACTTTCTTCCGAATGACATTTAGCACTTTCTTTTAGGCCCCATCTCAAGATATTATATTTTCTGAACTCTTTTATATTCCTAACAACTTTCTATATACACCACTTCTCCTCTCTACCTATCATTTGGTACTCTCATACTTTTCCTCTGTTTCTTATGTGCTGAGAATTAAACCCAAAGCTCCATAGATGCTAAGCACATTCTCCCACTGAGGTGTATCTTCAACCACCAACACATCGATGAAAACATCATGTCAAATATTGTATCACTTAACAAAATGAATCAGAATAGTTGTGTTATTAAAAAGACACAGTGATCTTTTGCAGGGGGCATGACTATTTTGTGAAGCTTTGCTGCTGTAGACAGAATCCAATGCCTCAGACAGAGTGGATATTCAGTAATATGAATTGAATAGGAATGCTGTCATTTTTTAGAACTGAAAATTTAGGTTTATTTTATCTTCTGCTAGCTTTCTGTGTAATCCTAGATGAATCAATAAATCTCTCTGAGCTTCAGTGGACCTCTGGTACAATCTGTGAATCAATTATAGGAACTTGTGCCTCCTAGCTATCTCCATTGACTGTATATGATGCTTTGCAGTAAAAACATTATGAGACAGAAGTCTGTGGAATTTCCATGTTAGATAGCTGCCTGGAATTTAAAATTAATGTTTTACTGTAAAAAAAATCAGGAATTAAGCATATATAGTAATATGAAGGCTTGAGGAATGCAAAAAAATTTAATTGTAGAGGGTCATTATGACCAAGAAATATTGCATACATAAGTGGATTTGTTAAAATGAAACCATTCATACAACTAATTGATGCCAATTTAAAAAAGGTTTTTTGTGAATATGGAAATTACACCATGATGCTTGACCTTTTTATGCAGTAGCCATATAAAACCCTAATATTTGATCAGTGGAATAAAAGCCAGGCTTATGGTGTGTCTGGTACCAACAAAATATAGCCTGCTGAGTTTTACTGTTCAGGCTGAGTGAACTTGGCTCTCTGTTGCTGATACCTTCAAGGGCTGGGTTTGTGGCTTTATACTCACATAAGGTTTAGTCAATGCTGCTCTAAGGGAGGTTTCTCAGGCCTGTGGTAATAACGACACAATTTGTTACTGATCAGCACTGTTGGAGTAAGGTCAGTTGAGAATTTGAGCATATACACTGAGAAACATGGAGAAATTTCACAGTACCATGAAATTTTTATTTTCTTTGGCAAAAGTATACGTGAATTTGGAAATTAATAAATTAAAAGCTGGTTATTTAAAATATTTGGAGAAGCGCTGCATTTGCCCCTCCATTTGTTCATCATAATCATCTTCTTCTTTGTCATCATGAAACCTTCAGCAGGACACTACATAATGAATACCATTTTAGCCAAGGCAATTCAGATTTGATATTTCCTGGTTCATTTAAAACATCAATTGAAACAAAAAGTCATTAAGCAACTCCTAAATTCCCTTATTACTTTTCAAAGTACTCTATTGTGGACTTCATTTGAATATCTTTCTTAGCTAATCTTTGATTATAGGGCCAAGATCATTTCTTTGACTATGGGTCCACTGAGTTCTGCATAACCATTTTTGCATAAGCCTCACTGATCATGTATCCCTCTGATTTCCACTACAGTTTCTTTAAAATTATAGGAAACCTCCCAAAGCAAGCTAAATGCATAATTCTTCTTAATTGTCAAATTCATCACCAATTTTTACATCTAATCCAGCAACATTTTACTAGTGTTGTTATAACTTTTGGTTGCTTTCAAATTGTATTGGTTCACACACTTTTGATTACATGAATTTTAAAACAAACAAGTGCAAATAACACAAGCACATTTTGGTGGGCATATTACAGAACAGACTTGCTATAAGCATTCCTCAGAGCCTGGCCACTGGCCAGAAAGTTTTCAAAGGTAATGAAATAGAATTTAACCCTAAGAGTTCACATGTAAATCAGTCGAAACATGGGCTTGCATATATCAAAAGAAGAGAAGCAGAATTTTTCCGATTGTAGCAGAGGCAGGGGTCCTGGGAACCTTCTCTTTCAGTCTACTCCCCAGTTTATTCCAGATCATGTGTAGAAATTTGATCTGTAATAAGTAAACAAGACTTTTTATTAGTGGTTGACTACCAGTTGCCTATGCCCTGGAATATCTTATCTCATCGCTATCGTCCACTAAATCACAATTTTTTGTCACAGAATGTACATATATATGCATATATGATTTATGTATATATTATGAGATTTCTCTTTATATCATAAACACACTCCCTATGTTGATGAAGGATAATGAAAAATTAATACATACAAGAAAATGATAGTAATAAGATGGAATCATTGTCATAACAACAAAATAAGATTTCAGATTAGATCTTAAAGTAAGCCCAAATGAGGCATGAACAGATCACAGTGGATCAATGGGGAGGTACAAATGTCTCATATAATGACTGAATTGCAAACAGGACTATCGAAAATGAAGGATCTACCTCTATGCTGATGATTTTACTGCCTTGGAAGAAAGGGAGCATTTTGGTATATGTTGCTTCAGGAAAACATAGCTTCTTCTTCATCTGTGAAGTAGGTCTTAGGTCCCACCCTGGAACCTTCTCCAGAAGGAGCACTAAAGCTACTTATTAAACAATAAAACTTTACTTTTAAGTCAAGATCTTGAGCTGGATGATAAGGAGTCTGGGATGAAAGATAAATCAATCACCTGAAGTTCAAACATATGGAACATGAGACAAGCTGATAATATACTTCAGTTCAGGAAAAAAAAACTTATTTGTAGACAAGTTTGATAATAGTGTATAAGGTATGATTGGAGATGCCTTAAAATATAAAAAAGAAGCATACATAACATATTTATGAGATTGTATTTTAAAAAAGAAGACTCAAATGGTTTTTTTCTTTCTTGCTATTGTTTCTAACATATTTATAAGATTATTTCTTTGTTGCTTTGTATGTCCCTCCCCCACAGTATAACTCCTGTTTTCAGTGTATTTAATGTTGGTATCATTTGTGGAGAGGAAGGGAAAAAACAAATTGTTTAAATAGAGATACAGGTATACCCATTGCAACAATGAGATGTGCAAGACGTTATGTCGAAAAAGAAAGTTTACAACTTTGGTGGGAAGGCACCATGGGAGGGGTGAGGGGGGGTGATGGGAAGGGATGGGAAGGGGAAACAAAGGAGGAGGTAACAATGCTTGACAAGAAATGTACTCATTACCTTGCTCATGTATTGGTAACCCTTCTGTACGGTATTTTCACAATAAATAATAATAATAATAAAAGAAGAAACAGTGCATTTCTCATGCCGGTGTACATGAGTGCACGCGTGCATGCGTTGTGTGTGCGCGCACACACACAGACACACACACACACACACACAGAAGTTCATGATGTACTCAATGCCAAATAAAGAACATAAAGACTGTCCTTGTGAAATTATAGTCTTTGGCAGACAATCTTAATGCAAACCACTCAACAATTAAACAAAAACACTTAACTATACTTAAAAATAAATGATGCTTTTATACTGTGTACAACAAAGAATGGAATGCTTAGGGAAAATTACCATAAAAATTTTTAGAGTAAATTGATATATACAGAATCAGATAGACATGGCTTTTAATTCTAACTTTTCCAACTCTTGGTTGTAAACCCTTGGGTGGATCTACATATTGACTATAGATTGCCTCACATGTAATAGTACATACTTTTTAAATGTGAATACCCTTGTTTCCTTCGCAGAACTTCAGAGCCCAAAAAGCCATCAACCTAATTCTAAATCATCTGGAAATTTCTGATAAATAGGACACAATCTTCCAAAAGAAGATAAAGAAAAAGTAAATGTGGAAAAAAATAAAAGAGATATGGAATCCATCAAAGGAAAATTTCATATATGGTAACATAATGCTGTACCAAACTTTAAGAAAAATAAGGCATTTTCTTAAGCATCTTCTTGAATAATTCTTACCCAGACTGGCCTTGATCTTTATAAAGGAATTTATTTTGAAGGGGTGCCAGTTTTGGGAGCTTCAACGCAGCTTTTTTTTTTTTTCCCCTCAAAGCTAGTGCTCTACTAATTGAGCAACAGCTCCACTTGTTGTTCTTTGCTGGTTGATTGGCAATAAGAGTCTCATAGACTTTCCTGCCTGGGCTGGCACCTAACTTTGATCCTCAGATTTCAGCCTCTTGAGTAGCTAGCACCCAGTTTAAAGGAGTTTTTTAAAAGAAGCATACCACTTCTATTTCTTAAATATTAGATAATAGAGCTTAACCAATGAATTAGTGCCATGTAAAATGGATATAACCTGATCTTGGCATAGTGAGGAAATAGAAGGGAATGACAGCAGAAGGGTCTGAAGGAAAAGTGGGAATGTTAACTGTAGCAGAGAGGATCCAAAGAGAGTAGCAATGATGAACATGTAAGATCACCAGTGGAGAGACCATTTGAGTGAATACCTGTATGTGAAAAAAGTTAAATCATAATGTGTACCTGAACAGAAGATAACCAATGGAAGAGAAGTGTGACAATAGAAGGTGCTAATTATTTGGACTCATAAAACTGAAATATCAAGATTGAACTTCAGAAAGCCCCAATATAAAATAACAAAATGCTGAAATAAGGATACAGGTTGACCCATTGCAACGATGAGATGTATAAGACACTGTGTTGAAAATGAACTTTACAATTTAGAGAGGGGGGGAAGAGTCAGGGAGGTGGGGAGGGAAGGGATGGTAGGGAAAATAAAGGAAAAGGTAGCAATGCTCAATAGAACAATAGAATATGTTCTCATTACTTTACTCATGTAACTGTAACACCTCTGTACAGTATCTTTACAATAAAAATATACACTAAAAAAATAAAGTGTTACTATAATTTAACAAAACAGTATAACTAACTCCATACACATAGCATGCTATCTGATACAAGCCTGGAATATGGTGAGAGAACAGAATGGGATATTTCATTGTGTTGTAAAGTTTCTAGGGAGGAACTGCACTCAGTAGGCACAAAGAACAAAAATATCCACATTTGGTTCACACAAGATGAAGACAAAGTAATCTTATCTTTCACAAGTTTCATCAATACTTTGGAGATGGTGATATGTAGCAGAAAATGTTGATGGACATCAACAAACAAGGAGTTCTCACTACAGAGACTTCATATACAAAGACAAATAACCCAAAGTAAAACATACATATTTGACCATCATATGTACTTCCTGATAGAATAAATTCTGTCACCAAATTTTGTTAGTGAATTGATTCTTTTATTCATTTTCCCCACAATTACAATATTAGCTAAAAATATTTCCACTGGTAAAAACAGGAAAAGTTCAGAATTTCTGTACACACAAATGCACAGATGTTGATGGAGATATGAAGACATGACCTTGAAATGTTGATATTGTATGCAATAAACGCCTTGAGATTTCATATTCTTGTACTGTGCTACCCGATGTTAAGGAAAATAACAAAAAATATCATCCACAAAAGCGTTAATTGTGAAGGTAATACCATTTTCAGATTCACTTGTATTTTGTACATTCCCATATGTAATTATAAGTATTTATATTCTAAAATTCACTAAATCATTACATCTACATATCTGCACATGTACAGATACATATATGAAGATTGTATAATGAAACCTTATGAAATTATAAAAATAAGAGGGAGAATTAGGGAAAAGAGAGAGTGATAGAAGGAATGACTATGATCAAAGTATATTATATGTATACTTAAAATAGCGCAATGAAATTCCTTTTTTGAAGTTATTGGTTTATTTTATTTTTTGTAAAGATGCTGTACAGTGGGGTTGCAGTTACATGAGTAAGGCAATGAGTGCATTCCTTGTTGAACATTGTTACCCACTTCCTTATTCTCCCACTAACCCTTCCCTCCCCCACCTCCCTCACTCCTCTTCCTATCCCCTAAATTGTAAAGTTCATTTCCAATATAGTATCTTGTGGGTATCATTATTGCAATGGGTCATCCTGTGTCCTTGTTTGAGCGTTTTGTTATTCTCTTTCCCCTCCCCAAATTAGACAAATGTATATACAAGATGCAGGGTACCAAAATCAAGTACAGTGACAACAGGGGATATACCATAGGGGGAAGAACATACACAAAGGAAACAAAAAATCACATAGTACATGAAAAACAATAACAAAGAAAGATCTCGTGTCCATATCTTGGGGTTCATTTCAATTAGCATCACCTTATATGGTGACCATCTGATACATTATCCTAGATGTAGTTATGTGTTTACGTGTACTCTAGCCTAGCTCTTATCAAGAATTCTTCGGTCTTGGCAAACATGGTCCAGTAGAAGGAAGTATGGTTTGTTTTGCTTCCTTATTGTTTTGGTACTTTTTTTTTTTAGTGTGAACATACTGTACAGAGGGGTTACAATTACATGAGCAAAGTAATGAATAAAATTCTTATCAAACATTGTTGCCTCTTCCTTTGTTTCCCCTTCCCATCCCTTCCCCCCCCCCCCCCCGCAGCGTGCCAAAGTTGTAAAGTTCATTATTCGATATAATATCTTGTACATCTCATTGTTGCAATGGGTCCACCTATATCCCTATTTAAACAATTTGTTTTTTCCCTTCCCCTCCACAAAGTATACCAACATCAAATACAGTGAAAACAGGGGTTATACCATGGGGGAGGGACAAAGAAATCATCTTTGTTAGAAACAATCTATGTTAGAAACAATAGCAAGATAGACACATGAAGAAATGCTCAACCTCCCTAGCCATAAAAAAATGCAAATCAAAAAAACATTAAGATTCTACCTCACCCCAGTTAGAATGACTATAATCAAGAACTCTAATAACAACAGATGCTGGAGGGGATGTGGACAGAAGGGAATCCTACTGCATTGTTGGTGGGAGTGTAAACTTGTTCAACCACTTTGGAAAGGAGTATGGAGGTTCCTCAAAAGACTCCACATAGAGCTCCCCTATGACCCAGCAATCCCACTTTTGGGCATTTACCCAAATGTTTACAAACAAGACCACACTAAAGCTACCAACACAACTATGTTTATTGCAGCACTATTTACTATAGCTAAGATATGGAAACAACC